TTCCATCTTCAGGCTGCTTGACTTTGCAGCCTTAATGTTCCTTTCAATTCTGAAGTGCATAAGCGTATGCTTGAAAATAGGTAAGCATAGAGGCAAATTAAAGACTGTTTTCTTCCTTAGGGCAGATTCTGGAGTACCTCACCATGGCTAGGGCATAATCTAGAATCTTCCAGGGAGGCTTCATTTAAAAGAAACAGAAAACAAGCCAGCAGTTCGTATCTGAGGTTTCAGCAGCCACACATGGTGGGTATTTCAGAATTTCTGCTGCAAAGTCACTTAGAACTAAGCACTGTGCCATATGCTACTGTGACACAAATGGATTTATAAAGGTTAGCTTCTATGTGCATATACAGCACGACATGTTTCCAGGAGGAGCATATCACAGGACAAGAGCTACAGCCTGATCTGTTAAAGTAGCACTGATTTCTAGAATTCTCCAGACCTAAGCAAGCAGACAAAGACCTTAGTCTTCTACATTCAGGAAGGCAGGCAAGTGAAACAACTCTTCCCAATTTCCAACTTCCACTCATCCTTGCAAGTTGAAATAAACTAACTAAAATAAGCATAGAAAGAATAAAAACTGAAAGAAAGGCAAATGTTCTGGAACTTGTAGAAGAAGTTACTGATATCAAAATTTGTTTTATCATGTCAACAATGTATGTTTACAGCTGTTTTGCTGGAAACTTCTCTCAAGTGACTTCTCTCAAGTCAAGATCAAACTTTTCTTAAACTTTGGCAGTCACTATACATAATTTAAATATATTTACATTTTATTTAAATACTTTAAAATGTGATGGCTTACTTTTAAATAAATAATAGGTATAAAAATTAGAGGTAATGACTAGGAGAGTTTTTCTTACAGTGCCTTTTACAGTTGTGTTAAAAACCTGTTTTTTCAGGTGTATAATGAAAATTGGTTGCATTTTGCTAATGCTCAACAAATTTTTTTCTCTCTCTCTTAACGTTTCAGTTAGGACATAAAATTATATCTGCTGAGAAAATTATTCTAAGCTATCTCCTTGGTGAAAATCTGCATATACTGCAGCTAAAGGACACATCTCTTCACATGAAGCAGAGAGCACCAACCACCTGCCTAACGAATACCACAGGAGCATGAAAAGAAGGGAAGAACCAGGTGTCCTGGGAAGCAGAATGGCACCTCCTTGCCAAGCACTGCACAGGCAGAGAGCATTGGCAAGGCACAGGTGTGGCAGGTCCAGATAAACAGCAAACCAAGAGCCCCAGACAGCTAACATTTGGGAACACTGTAATGTAAATTGGAAAATGACATGAAACCTACAGAAATAAGAGCACAGAGGCAGGGAGACTCCCAGGTGCAGTAATGTGAAGGGAAGCTTGTGAGCCTGCTGGAAAAGAAAGGGGATGCTGCTGCCTGGCTCAGCATACTTAACACTGAGTCTGAGTTAGGAATGGGCAGTCAAGATTTTTCTGGAGACGGGTTTTTTTGGTTTTTTTTTACTAAGTTTCCTTTCTGAGCAAACATCACTGTAGGGAGAAAATAAGTCTATCCGCTAATTTTTAATGCTAAGATGTCCTTCATCCTGTGTTTGGGTCATGGTATAATTCCCAAAACAGGTAAGCACAGGCTTACAGGCAGAGTGATGAAAAAAAATAATGGAGAGATATTATCTTTACCTATAAAAGAGGTATTGAAAAGTGAGGAAAAGATACCTTTTAATAAGCCTTTTTCATTTTACTAAGACTGTAATTGTACAGAAGATTTCAAGTAGGTAACACCTAGCAGGACCTGAGGAAAACACTTTCAGTAGAGAGGCACAGCTACCACGGGCACTAACACAGAATGCTGTGCTTTTCTGCCACGAGGAACTCCCATCATATCTGCACTTGGGCAGAGCAGACCAGGTACTGTTTTCTTCCTGGCAAGCTGTGGCAGCTCTTGCTTTGCAGTTTCCTGAATGACTGCATTAATTTGATTGGCTCCAGATCAATGGTGTCTCTAAACAAGATTAAATTACATGTTCCTTCTGCCTGTATGTTACAGGAGATTACTCTTAGCAGAATCTCAAAGGAAGCAATTAGCTGACCACTGATGTAATGAATTCTAATTATTTTGTTTGTACAAACAATAAAGCCACATCATTTGTTTAGCAAGGAAGTAATTACTCCGAGAACTTGAGAAAATAAATCAAACAGCGCTACCTAGGCCTGTAAATAATGAGCCTTCAACTTCCTCTTTATGCTAAGAATGCTCATGGAATATTTTCAGGTAGCTGGGAGCCAGCCTTTGAAAGTAACATTTATCATAGTTATTATTGAGCACTTGCTTGATTATGTTCTTGAGTGTGCTAGGTACCCTGCAGAAATATCCATCTGCAATGGCTGTCACTGGCACCTGCTAAAAATTCACTGCAGCCAGTGCAATTTCCTGCAACTGCTTTTTGTTAATCAACAAGAAGTCTCTCACATCACAATCATTAGGCTGTTCTGCTCCTAAGGGCACCAGTGGCAGGGGCATGTCCTCAGCAATGGATGAATGATCAGGAAAAAAAGCATATTATTATAGATGGAGCAGGCTCTATTCTGCCCAGCATTTGACCATGTAGGCTAGAAATGGAATAAAATCAGAAGGCAGTCAAATGAGAATGGTTGCAGCTGGGTCTTCCCCTTCTCCAAGTTGATCTGCTGCTGCTGCAAAAGATCCACAGCTCAAACAGGAGAGACAAGCAGAGTCACTGGGGACCTCGTGCAGCAAAAAAATCAGAGATCAGTCCAAAAATACCTCAACTTCTGCCACTTCTGCTGATTTTGTGTGACTCAGGAGCATGAGGGAGCTGACAAATTAGAGATAACCTGATCCTATTTTATGGAAACTCGCCGATTGTTGCAAGCACAATGATGCAGCCATGTGCACTTCCTGCAGATACTAAATCCTGAGATCAGCCATTCTCTTCAAGGTACTTGGCTTCCTTTACCATAGCTTTGAAAAGACATTCATGCATACAAATATATTTTGCTTAATCTTTCTTTTGTTTCTAGCCACATTTTAGGTGTTAAATTTGAATTTAAAGTAAACTGCATAGCCTAGAATTCTGCAGTTGGCCTGATTTTCCTCTTTTCTTAGGCCAAACAGAGATACACCCAAAAGGGATCAACATTATTTTCTGGCTCTCTTAAGTGGTGCTCAAAAATCTTATGGCAACACTGTCTCACATCCTGATAAAAACTGAATGAAAAAAAAAAAAAACCAGAAAAAAAAACTTCCAGCACTTGGATTCTTGTTGTAGTGTTACTGTTTAAACAGAGAATAAAAGCCCTGAGGTCAGCGAAATCTCACTGAAGTGAGCAGGGTATAAGTTACAGCAACATCTGTACTGGCTGAAGGGAAACTGCAAATCACTTGTTAGTGCAATGGGAGCCATTTCCCTCATGCTTATGAGGTATTTCAGTCCTTTCCACCCTGAGCTGTTTCTCTTTGTGTTCAGTAGCTATTAAAAACTCACAGAGTGAGGGTTTTTTGTGCTCTTACTGTAGGCCTAATTGACAAATGTTTGCTGCCTGCTATTATGTTAAGCCAGTATCTTTGAAATTAACTGAAGGCTTTAGTCTAATTTGGAGAATTTAAGGGTAAATAAATACCATGTACCCCAAGGCAGGCGAGGCAGATGAATTAAAAATGGCATCTAACTGTACTGGAGACATGCTTATGCCTAAAGCTTTTGTTTTGTTTTCCCTACAAACAATTTGACCCAACCAAACAACATGAAATCAGAGAATTCCCTGGTCAGTCTTCTGGAATATCCCTGTGAGCTTCTTCTGGGGAAAAGAAGCACTACTAAATGTTTGGCTGCCTCTCCACCAAGTATTAAAATGTCATACTGTTTCTCCACCCTGAAAAATTCTGGTGACCTTACTGGCTGAAATAATTAATGCTGAGCCAGACAAGCAAGAACAGAAAGTCTTTGGGGGTCTTCAGCAAGGCTGAACTGCAGCCAAAACTATTGAGGAAGGCGTGAAAACTGCCTTAAAACCGGTCAGTGCTTTGCTGGGTAAAAATATTGGAGCTGCTACTCCACATTTGAGAATAAGAGGAATATCTCATCAGAATGAGGAAAGTCTTGATTTCTGGCCATGCTTGAAGTGCACTGTGCTGCACCTGTTAAATATTGGCGTCTTCTACAGAGGTGTTGCACCAGGAGAAATCAAGGGTTTGATTTACCTTAAAATGACTGCGTGATTGTGATCCTGCAAGACATTACTAATTCAATCTCCTTTGTGTTGGGCAAATAAAGCCTTATTCTATTCCTTCTAAACACAAATGGAAAGTGAGATGACAGTACAAAGCAGAACAGCTTCCATAAATAAAGAAAATTGTGACAGAAAAATTTGCTGACTTTATGAAAATGGGATCAGAAGTGCTGCTTGGTTTAATAAGAAACTGGCAGTATTTTGTTTTGTTTTAGCTTCTCCTTATCATCTCCTGTACTGCCTCTATTTTTTATGTCATCACTTCAAAAAGAAAATCCATCACAGGAGGAATTCTGCAGCTTAGAATAAGGATTTAGTCTAATAGCATTAGACAAATCTCTTGACTTTCTCTGACTTTCTGCATTAGAAAAAAGGTGGGCTGGTGATTCAAACCATTTTTTTCAGAAGTGTCTAAAGAATTAGAAGTCCCATTTTCAAAACTATTTTAGGCTGTTAACCACTAAATCCTTTAGAGAGGTTTGGCTCTTCCTTAGTCTCTTTTGAAAAATGAATTAAATTCATATAGCATGTAGATGTATAAAAACTGAGTTTCCCTCCTCTCCCAGCATTTGGATATTTAGCTTCTAGACATATAGTAAGCCTAGTTCAAGAGTAAAAGCTCTGGAATATTTTTCAATTTAAAAATCTGGAGAAAATCATCAAATTCTTTAAGAGTGGCTCTTAATAAGCAAATTGATTTCAGAAATCTTGAGAAAAGTTTAAAATCATTTTCTGCAAAACTGTTTTAGCTTAATAATAGGAAACTGTCTTGCCTTTCTGAATCTGTCTGGTTCCTCCAAAGATCCAGCACTCTGTTTGAAAGAAAGAAAGAAAAAAAAAAAAAAAAAAGAAACATGAAGTTAAGATCCCAGAGGAGCCTGTAAATGAGTATTCACCCACAGGGGATGTTTCTTTCAAATTCATGGTCACCTGGACAGAGTGAACCAGCAGGAGATTTTTTAATGGGCTTTTTAACAACATTAGGCAGAAAGATGACATGTTTTTAGGTTCTTGACTACTTGAATCAGATAAGCAGCTCTCCCAGCAATAGCTTTGACTTTACTGACACCTATTGACGATGTCAATGCTTACAGAAGGTTTTGGTTAACAAAGCATGAGTTATTACAATCAATGGCAAACACAAAAATATGCTCTTTATTAATAAAAGTCATGATTGCCTTCCATGCATTTTAAAGGATTCATGTTCTAAAAAATCTTTGGATTTCAAGAAAAGGTTTCTCAAGGCAGAAAATTTTAAAATGCCTCCAATTTTAGCTGTTCAAGTTCAGATACCTTTGAAAGCACTCGTATACAGAAAGTACCAAATGCAAACCTGTAAATTCTAATCCTTTGATTACAGTATCTTGAAGCTGCTCAGATAATGTGAGTAGTTAAGCTAGAAAAATATTAAGTAATAATTATATATGTTTATGATATGAACATGGCAGTATCTTTAGCATGCCCTGGAATATCTTATATATGATGATGAATTCTGTCACTTTTAGCATGTCTTATATATAACAACTTGGTAACTTCTTTAATAATTTGGTTTTTGCATTAAAATGCCTCCTCTTTATTTCATTCCAAATCATTAACCTATAAGGACATTTTCAAAAGGGACTAGGTCCTTCTGCACAGTTACTTTGAATCAGTTCAGTCAGTGACTATTCTGTCTCACAGCAGGAGACACAAATAATGAACAGTGAATATATTCTTACTGCAGGAACTGTCAAAAAAAAATTCTGTGGAGAATGTTGTGTTGAGAAAGGGCAAAAAATAGAAATCCATGTGCCCAGAACCAGGCACACACCCAGAGTATTCACACACACAAACACCTTTCAGATCCCAGCTGCATGCCTCTTTGCCATTTACTATTCTGGTTTGAAACTTCCATCTCAAGAAATATTTTGAGCATACCACACAAAGAGAAAATGCACCCAACTCTTAAATAAGCAGATTACACACAAATACTGCTGAAGTAAGACTAGCAATGTGAAGGAACCTAAAGAGCAACGGCAGAGCTCAGCAGCTGTGGACTGTGTGCTGTCACCTACCGCTGAGCTCAGGGCCTCTCTCAGCTTGGATTTGTGGAGCATCCATCGGTAGCGCAGGTCTTCCAGGTCTTCAGAACTCCCCACGACAGGATGAAGATGAAGGAGGTCCTCAAAGAGATGCTGACCATGAGGCACACGAGACTGCAGCTCCTAAAGGCAAAGACAAGGCTCAGCAGCAATTCAGGATTCAGGAAGACCCCACTTTTTAAATCAGCATTTGAAAAAACGGTGGTTTACCACACACATTTATTTTTGTTGTTGCTTTTTTGGCCTAAAATTACATGAAACTCACCTGCAGGACTCCTGTAGCCTTGGACATTCCTGTGTTTAGTTTCTAACAATCCAACAAATCTAACAAATTGCCATGGCATTTGGCTATACTCCACAGGAAGACTGAGACCAAACACTGATTTGACACTGACTTTAATCAGCTTCTTTTAATGAACACCTTTGGCATACCACACTGGAAATGTCCAGCCCAACAGCTAAATGCCAGCTGCTCCTTTCCCTTCTACTCTGGTTCTGGCAGACCTTTCCTTGTAGAAAGGATGTAAATTGTCTTAAATTCATGAGCTTCATCTATTCTAGAGTCTCATAAAGCAGCGAGCATAGTGCTTGAATTTTTTGTCTATTTGTTCTTAAGGATTTTTGGGGATTTTTTGAGGGCTGGTGGGTTTTTGGCTGATAGATGGAGTGGTTTTGGGTTTTGTTTTTGTTGTTGTTTGGATTTTTTTAATTCTGGAAGAATTGACACTTACTGCAGTATTTTTCTCTATTCACCCCCTGAAAACTAACCTCAAGTTTACTCTGGTGTGCCTTAATTTCCTCTGCAGAAGATGGAGTCCCAGCAAGAATTTTGGTCAGTTCAGTGTTTTCTCCTCGTAACCACTCTTCAAAGTCATCTAGGAGCTTCAAGTGGCTGCTTGTAGTTTGCCCTTCTCCCATCTTCTCCTGGCATAGAGAACAACAGGAACAAAAAAGCCCTTATTGTTATGTCAGACGTTTCCTCTGAAGGCCTGACTGTGAAACCTTAACCTCCAACTTTGTGACCCACATATCAGATGAAGGCAATGAAACTGTTCCTGTGAAGCTGACATGAAGGCAGACACAGAGTCCCCATCTCACCTGCTCATGGCTGGGATCGACATCAAAAAGATGGAAAGCAGGTCTGGACATCCATCTGCTGTCCACAAATGCTCTTTTCTTCTTCTTGTCAGCCACTGGTCTATTTAACTGCCACTTTTTGAGGAGGCTTGAAAACACAAAACCAGTTATCAGTGCACTGAACATCCACATTTTGACTGGGGCTATGAGAGACAGCTCTGGGGAAACAGCACTATTGTTGTTATTATTATATCATTATTAATACTAATAACACTATTACTATTGAGGTTGTTCCTAACCAGAGTGTCTCACAGCTGCACCAGGACACTAGTTCTAACATTTCCAAGTGTTTTGTTTTCTTTTATTTAGGGGACTAAAAATAATACCTTGGCAATATACCTTTCTTTCTGATTACAGAAGGCAGTACAATCAAGCCTTCCTCAATTTTGTAGTTTAATTTTTGTACCTATTCTGCCAGCATATATGAATACAATCATACATGCAGCACACCATTAAATATTAATACAGACTAGCAAATACAAGCAGCATTTCGGCACTACACAGTGGAGGCAAAATATATTAAGTCTTCATTTCCCAGCTAAAGAGAAGATTTTTAGCTGTGCTTATACTTCTGCATGTTTGCAAAAGGCACAAATCCCATTGCAGATACACCCTCCTTGGAGGCATCTCAAAGAAGAACAGGAAGATGAGACAGAGCAGCACAAGTCACCCAGTCTATGCCAAATTTCCTCTGACACAGACAGGCAGTACAAGAGTGAGCCAGGCATAAGACACTGCCTACTCCGACACGAGGTAAAGGAAGATTCACAGACATTGTGGTTAACTGAGTCTTTGAAAGGTTTTCTTAAAAGTAATGATTTTCAGTTTACAAAAAATTCAATAAAATCCCATCTTGTTTCTAGCATTATGGTATGGCTGTTCACTTTCACAGCACAGATCATAAAGCCTCAAGTGTGTCTGTTCTTACTGCAGTAAAAAGAACCCCACTGAAGGGACATAAGGAAGATCTGCATGAGCACTTACCCAGTTGCCATCTCCTTCAGTGATTTCCACGACTCCTTCAGCTGATCCAGCTCTCCCTGGACATGGGCAGTCTCCTCTGGAGAAGAATTCTCCATGACCAACTGGCCATGAGCTTCCACAAGGTGCAGCTGGATCTCCTTATCTGGAAACTCAGCCAGCAATCTCTGAAATGCAGAGCCCTGACAATTACCCCTAGATATCCTGGGTAAAGTAGAGGCTGTATCAGACTGAAGGCCATGTTCAGTCCAGCACTATGCTGGTTTTGTTGGTACTAGCTAGAACATATCTAGGGGGAAAAAAAATGCTGTGGATGCTTCCAAAGAGCCAACATAGGTCAAAGAGCTGATGGGAGAATTTTGAGGGTGCAAGATGCCAATGCACCTCCTTCTGTAGCCTTCCCATGAAAGATTTTGGTCTCCCATATGAAGGCAACAGCTGCCAGCTAAAGTATCCTTCTAGAGTGAATTTAGCATGTAAAGTACTGCTACACATGGAAAAGCTGGCAGCTTTGGAACAGCTCAGTTCAACAAGCAGAAGGCCAGCTAAAATGGCAGGAATGTTTAATATATTGATGAGTACACACAGGCAAAGGCAGGAATTGTTCAGAGATCACCCTGACAGGAACAGACCACCCATCCTTGGATAATAATTTATCCAACTCAACACTGCTTTCTCATTTTCCCTGCTCTTGTCTGTTACGTGGCCCCACATCCCACAACACAGGGCAAAGCAGAGAGGCAACAGCAGCCAACAGTTATTGCAGGAGAAACACACATCATTACTCTCCTCAAGCAGGAAATCCTCACTACAAACCCCCACTCTTAATGTCTGAATGCTGCAAAGTGAATAATTAACATCTTAAAGTAAGACGCTTTTCTCACCTCCAGGTCTTCCAGCCTGCCCTCGATGTTCTGCTCTCCATCAGCACCCTGGCAGGAGTCAATCTTCTCCCTGGTTACTGAGATCCACTGCTGGAGGTCAGACAGTTTGTCATTATATGCCCAGTGCTTCTGAACGTGGTCTTCACTCTGCTGTATCATCATCTACAAATGATAAAAATATGTCAGCAACCAAAGACAGACCAAAAGCACTTTCTTTACTGGCTCTAACACTATGATGGGCACAGAACCTCACAGGCAAAAAGGAAAAAAACAGCTGTTAATGAGAGACAAAAAACATATCCTTTTAGCATCAGTGGTGGAAACTCCAAGCTCCTGCAGGCCTGAATTCAACCACACGGGGGGGTGTTAAGAACTAGAATAGCTCCCTTCCTTCTCAGCTGAAAGGGAATAGAGAATTTACATGTCTGGGGTTTTTGTACCCCAGTCAATATCAAATACATCTTACACTCCCTGAGTCGGAAATGACTGTACAGACTTGTCTGGCAAAAGTTCAGTCCAGTGATAAATGGGATGATTGAAATTGAAACTAGAATTCCATAGTGCATATTCAGGTAACACTTTAACACACATAATTTTACAGTGAACTGCATAGCTAAGGTAACTTCATGAGCTCTTCTTCTGAGCATCTTCTGAGGTTGCTCTGGAGGTCACTTTATAGGTATGTTTGCAAGCTACAAAATGCCTCAGCACAAAGCAAGTATTTATGCAATCGCAGCACTTTTCTCTCATTAACTTTTAGATCACAAAGCCATAAAAACCCCAAACACTTTTGTACAAACCCCCTCTCCCATAATCTGTGAACTGCAAGCAACACCATGATAATATGAGTTCTTTTGGTCAGGAATCTCATGCCCACTCCAGAAACAGTTTATACAGACACAAAATCTGTGTGGATGGCATCCTATCCCCAAGGGAAATCACATTAGAGATAATCAGAGAATCCTGGAAAAGTTATCAAAGTCTTACGAATTCAGTGCTTTCTTTCCCGTGAAAGTATCTGTAACTCAAAGTATGTAATGTCATATGCTCAAAGATGTTTTAAAATATTTTTAAATAGAGGCAACTGACAATTCCCCAGGCAACTAAAAACTTCCTCATGTTACCTCCAGTGATCTCTTCAGGGCTTGAAAGTCAGATGAAAGTTGGTTCATTTCATGCCTGTGTGTGGTATTTGACTGAACAAGCTTGTCTACCTCCTCCATGTGAATTGCAAGCTCTGCCAGGTCATCTTGGATCATCTGCAGAGGAAAAGACCGATTCCATGTGCGTAGTGTGCTAGGCACGGCATGGACTTTCAAAAACATACACCAAAGGTAGCTTCATTTGACAGTGTGAGGCCAAAAAAACCCAATAAAAACCACTGTCATTAAGAAAATGAACTGTTTCGATGCCTAGGAGTAAATGTTTCTGAAAAAAATAGTTGGATGTCCTTTACATGTTACTGGGAGCTAGCAAAGAAGATAAGTTGCTGAGAAGTGCCAAAGGAGCCATAGGATAGCCAGCAAAGAACTGTGGTGACAACACCCCTGTGGTCACCAAGGATGAAGTGCCACAGTACAGGTGTACAGCTCACCATGGCAGTCATGTTCCCTCTCCCTTCTCCTCCTGCTCCTCTCTCCCCTCTCCCAGGTATGTAATCACACTGTATGCCTTGAACAGGCTCTACTGCATGTTGGACCCTTTGCTGAGCCAGTTCAAAACACTAACCAAAACATTATCATCTTTTCCCATTATTTTTTTTTCTTATCTTGGATAGCTGGATCAGCCATGGAGTAAATCCAGCATGTGTCACAGCTGAGTGACAAGGTAAAGAGCAGAAAGAAGAGGATACAGAAGGAAGTGGAACAGTGGAAACTCTTTTGAGGAAGTTAACCTGAACCAATCTATCTTGTGCAGTTTTACTGCCAGTGGGAAGTGTCAGGATACACTTTCTTTAGCAATTAAACTAGCCCAAGAAGGCATACCACCAACAGCTTACAGCTGCTTCTTCCTTCCCTCAAGCTCAGTTTGCCAGTGCTTCATCTGCACTGCTTTAATTTCATTCACTCATGCTATAAACTGGACCAAATGAAATCATCTAACACACAATCGAGGGGAAAGGTACTGAATTCCCAATGCTAGGAAAATATGAACAAACAGGAACCACAGTCAGCTGAGGATAACATGGCCAAGCAATACTGCAATGTACCTGGAGTCTCTGGAGTTGTGTCTTTTTACCCAACAGGTCAGGCCGTGGTTCCTTCTCCAGATCTAATTTGGCTTTGATGGCAGATAATTTCTTCTGCAATGGTGCAAAACCGGCATCAAAGTTCTTATGCTGCAATATCAAATTCTAGATGGAGAAATAAGAAAACAAGTCCAGCATTTAACATATATACCTTGGCATTATGCTTTGTCAATAACTGCTTCATATTCAGGACAAACACTGAGCTACACTACGCAACAGACCACAAATTTATTTGAATATTTGATTAACCTAGAAAAAGGGATTAGTACTAAATTATAAATTTATATGTATAAAACTGGTTTCGTAAAGACTCCATCTTTGTCTTTATCACAGGCAAAGACAGTATATGGGTTTTGTAGTTCACCTGAAGTTTGCTCTTGCTTTGCAGCAGACTTTTGTGTAGAATTTCTCTCTCCTTTGAAGCTTCAGCTACTTCTTGAAGGAAAGACTCTGCTTTTTCCTCACCAAGGACATTGTTTAGCATATCTTTCTTTACCTGTAATGTCATCAACTTCTCTTTGAACTGGGAGCTTTCAGCTAGAGCAGCCTGAAGGAGAAAAGTTCTTCCAGTGAGATCATACCAAAAAAAAAAAATCATATAACCATATTATTGTCACACAAGTTACACAACCAAAGCAGTACGACAAAGTCAGGTAAAAACAGCATGCTGGGCCAACAAGGGGTAACAGAAGGTACCTCAACAGTGCCCAGTTAAAGGAAAAATCTTCCTGATAATGTTAGAGGCACCAGGGCTGCATCCATTTTGTGAACAGAAAGAGAGGTAAGCTGTACTATGGAAAGAGTTGTCTGTGCAGAGGAGAGGCCTAAACAACCAACAGAAAGGACAGCTTGAATGCTCATCCTGAGGATAAATTCCAACCCTGTTCACAGACACATTTATTCTGGAGATCACAGGGATGACAAAGTAACAAACACACCTTGCTGGGAACACGTGCTAATTGTGCATTTTAATCCCACATCCATATCATCAGATAATTCTTTAACAGAGTCCACAAACTTCCCATCCAGGGAGATCTGGGCTAATGCAAAACAATATTTTCATCGTTGTTAAAGATACCTAGCACTTTCTGCGGCCTACTCAGCTGACAACTCCAAATGGAAGGCAGAAAATAAGACAATGTGCTACAGCTGGAGCCAAGGAAAGAGCTCCATCCCTGCTGTGGGGTTTCCTGCCACACTGGCAGGACCTTCCAGCTGCTGCTGCCTGGCAGCTGTACGCAGCCTTGGTCAAACCCACATTTCTGAACTTAGCAACAGCTCTGCTACCTCAATGTGAGCCAGCTCTGGCGCAGGAGTCTCCAGGAGCATCTGGACCGATGGCTTCCACTGCTCAAAACTTTGCAGGGGATCTTGGATGAGTCTCCACATCTCGGTTTCTGTATCAGTGCTCATTTTAGAAGTCTTGCTTCTAACACTGTAAGGATAAAGTGACAACCAAGAGAAGGATTATGAAGAAATCCAAGCCCAAACATTCTATTCTTCAAGGCATGAATTAACACAATACTGGGGTGTAAGCCATACACAACACAAAAGCCTCAGTCTGTTTTACTGCCTGAGCCTGCTGCTGCTTGCCAGCAGCTGCTCTGTCAGTCAGAGACATCTGACAAAACTTTATTTAGATGTCGCAGGACACATTTGTCTTCTGTGCAACTGTGTATCAGGAGCTACTTTGCTTTTCTCGTAGCCAGCAGTCTTCCCTTGTATGTGAACTTTCTTGGCTGCTGTCACCAGTGTGATTTAACAAATCATATTATCAGAGCAGTCTCACTGACTCACGGGAGGAACAAATCAAGAGTGTCTAGAATGTAACCGCAGTTGCCTGTAAAAAATGGTTTTGTTTCTTAAAAAAATTACATTAAAAAGTCTTTGACAACCTCATGTTAACAAAAAAAAATGAAAAATACATTTTTATTTCAAATACAATTATTTTAAATTTTGCAGAACCACTTGAATTTATATTAGTACATAGAGGTGATTCTGATAAAAAAAGCTTTGTATTTATGTAGATGTATCCACATATACACACCGCTCTATTATTGGAATACTATAAATCAGCAAACCTTCAATGAATACCCAGGCTTCTCTTAAAAAGAACACAGCCCAAACACAGCCAAGTGACAAGGCCCAGCAGTGACACACCCCATGCAGCTGCCTCCTGTTTTTCTCAGCTTGCCTGACCTCCCAGTTTGCAGAATCCTGCATGATTTGCCAAAATGCAGCCCAAACTTTATGCTCACAGGGGAACAGTATCTTGCAAACTCACAAGACAAGCAGGTGAGAGCAATGCCAGTCAGGATCAATGCTGCCTTTCCATACAAACAGAAACAACACTCTTACCTGTGTCACTGGGCCATGACGGGGCTAAACAAAGGCAAGTTTGCAGAGGCCAAAAGCTCTGCAAATAGAAAGTTCTGACTTTCCACGTCCTCGGCCATTTGCTCTGCTGCCCCTGCCAGGCTCAGTGGGAAGCTGCCAGACTTCCCAAAGCAGCTTTGGAGAGAAGCTGGCAAAGAAGCAGCTGCCATTTTCTACTCAGAGGCAAAATGCCTGCCTTCTTTGCTCCTCTTTCAGCTTTGTTTAGTTGCTAGTTTTTAAACTGAAATCCTTTCCCACAATGACCTATAACCCTTCCAGCAGGACAGCATACTGTGCACAGAGGGAAATAAGCTGGGATACAGGAAAAGAACTGACCTTCTTTTTTCCCTTAAAAAATGATCCTTTCTTCTAGTTTGCAAAATTTGCTGCAGCTTCTTTACTTCCTGATTCCAGGCAGCCTGGAAACGGAAACACTGAAGTCTGGGAGAGGCTAAACTTTCAGAGTTTCCAACCCAAGGCAAGTTGAAAACAGGAACATGCATATAAGCTGCCAGGAGAAGGGGAATAAACTCTGCCAAATAATTGCTAAGGCTGGTGAGTCACCGCAACAAACTCAACAAGGGAGGGCCATAATTCTTCTGAACCGTTTACTACCACAGCTCCTGTCCTGATTTTCTAGTTGCTAGCATGAAAGGCAAGAAAAATACATAAATTATTATTATAAAATGCTAATTAGATCAAATTATCTGCCAACAATCTAATTTTCTTCAAACCATACACAACATTAATGATGTAAGATCATTGCTTGAAAATGACCAGGAGCCTCCAGCTCCTAGCAAATGGCTAAAATTACAGCTTGACTGAAACACGGAGGCGGATGTAACTATCAAAAGCTTTTTTTTTCTGCCCATCACTTACAATTAACTTTTTTCTTAGGCCCCTGACAATCCCTGAGAGAAGATTCCCCCCACCTGCCCCCCATAATCAGACTTCCCAGTACCTTTGATACTGCTGTATTGCAGAGACAACACTGTCAATGTGTGGCTGCACATCTTGGGAAAACCGTAGCAGTTCCTTAAGCTGAGCCTTCAGCCTCTCAATCTTTGACTCTTCTGCAGCCAGAGCTGCTCTTGTTGCCTTAATTATAAAAATAATGAACAGATCGTACCTTATGTAGTGTCTTATATGAAATAAGAAGTAAGGCTGTGTCTCAGGGTATGCACAAATCCCCTTTCAGTGGCTTTTTTCCTGGTTATAAGGAATATGGTCTTTGCTAAGACACAAAACATTCTCAGCAACAGTTTTTTTTCCAGCAGGCTCTCTCTCCTCCCCTCACACTGCCCAGCCTCTGCATCTGATCTGCAGGGTTCACTGTTTGAACAGAGTGAATCCCAAGCAGGCCTGGTTTCAGTTCACTGATTGTAGTGCATAACACGAGCTGCATTTTTTGAGCAGTCTAAAAAACATCTGTTTGCCTGAACAGATCTTTCTCAGAGACTCTCATACGGAGAATGTTAATTCTAGGGTGACTCAGGGAAACAACAACTAAAACCCATGCAAATGTAGCTGGATTGAACCAGTCTAAATTTTTTTGATCCTTTTTGCATATACTTCTCCCAGTTAGTCCTGCATAGTTCTAGAAATACAAACAGCAGTGAAAGGCATTTTGAGAGCAGATAATAAATGCAAAGCTGGCCCTCGAGAGAAAATGAGCAGTAAAGATCCTTATCTACTTAACGTGTGACAATTTTTTTGCACTTATTTTTGCAGCAGATTGGTTTTGGTGTAAATATTGGATTGTTACAATCTTAGGACTCCTTAGTACTGATGATGTGTCTGCTAGTAAAGGAAGAGAGGTACCTATCTTACAGAGATGATGGATATGACATAGCAATGGTCTTACCAAATACCTCAGAAATATGTGTACTTGTGTCAGTGTATATATATATATTCAGTGAGGCATTAATTTCCTGCTTCTTTTTAAGTGGAGCAAATTGTGCTGCTTGCTCTGTGTTGTGCTCTTTTTGCATGTGATTCCTTTGAACTCTAGGCACAAACTGCAGCACATCCTCCAACGCTGCTCCTTCTGTGCAGTGTAAGATGAAGGCTGGGGCAGTTGACTCCACTGTTGGCAGTCACATTTTCCTCAGTGTGTTTCACACACACTCATTCTCTTTCCTTATCATCTCTAACCAATGGGACAGGCATCTGTTGGATGTGACTATGCATGTTCATTCTACAGCTCCACTTCCTCCTCCACACAAAGGATAACAACTTACATTGCATTTTTTCCACAGAGTTAGAAACTCATCTTCAGTCTTTTCCCCTTCCCCAGGGTCCAGGTCATTTTCTAGTCTCTGTAGATCTTTCCTCAGCTGCTGGATGTCTGCTTCTAATTGTTTGGCTTGGGACTCATAGGCACTTTCAGACTGTTGGATCTTGAGCAATCTCTCCTCCTCCTGACTACTCAGCAGTTTCAACTTCTCCAAGGCTTTTCTTAGCTCTTCGAGTTCATCCTTCAGTCTTGCAGATCCAAGTGGAGAGGTATTCTGAATCACCTCTGCACACTGATTTTCAAGGTGCTTCCATTTCTTTCCACCACTCCTAATGTCTTTGGCAATTTCCTGCAAAAAGAAGTAAATAAAGATTGTCTACAGGAATAGAAAGCTGGGGGAAAAGATGAAAACAGTAGGAAAAAAGATCACCTCTCCTGGTTGTATGAATTTTGGTTTTCACTTCTTATTTCAAAATATGTCTTTTTTTCAAGTGACCAGGCTTAGTAATCTGACTGCCTTCTGAGTAATATTAATTGCCATTGATTCTGAAAATATTGGTTTTTTTTAATGCTTATAACTTGAAATCCCCAACAAAGAGAACAGGAGCTGCAGGTATTAGACATATATTAGTAGTTGGATCTCAGAGATTTTAAGCTAAGCATTAAAAGCATTGGCACCAAAATAAAGGATACTGTTCTCAAAACTGGTATGTTCCTTACCAGCTCTAAACTCTCAAAACCTGTGAACCTTCAGGGTCTACTTGGATCAGGTTTACCAAATCTGATTTATTTAAACAAGATTCTCGAAGAATCACATAACTGTTGGAGCTCAGGCTTTAAGAAAAACAAACCAGACCAGTTTGTGACTCATACTGGAAGAACCACACATACAAACAGTTTCAGGACCTCGTACAACTCATCTGCCCTAGCCCATGCTAAAATCACCATCTATTTTGTATGTGTAATTCTTTTCTCAAGGACACCCTTGTATGGTTTGAGCAACACATATGGGCATGAAAAACACACAATCCTAGCTCCTTGTTAGAGCTATATTGTTTTAGGACCTTCAGTGCCTTTAGCTTGTCCTCTGCTGAAGACTTGGTTGCTTCTCCAGTGCAGCAGTTTAATCTCTCTGCGACACCACTCAGCCACGATTGAAACTGGCTGACACTGGCGCTGTACTGCTCATGTTCCTTGGTGATCGTTTCAAGCAGTTTCACTCTGTTCTGTAACGAGAGACATCAGAAGTGGTGAGGACTGTGCTTATCTGGCTCTTTTTCCTCTACATTGTAACCCAGAACTTACAAACAAGACTCCCTTTTCGGGAGCCCTGATAACACTAGGCCTCCACAGGAATTCAAAGTTTACCTCGAGAAACAGAACACGAAAGTACACAAAGGCTTGCTCCTGTCTGGATTTTGCTGCAGGCTCTCAATGTCTAAGTCTCCAAGAACACAAGCTGCAGAACACAAAGACCCTGTAAGCTGAATTTCTGGCTTTCTGAGCCTTCCTACCTTCTCATTAGAAAAAGAAAAGAGACAGAAGTTTGTTTCTGGTTTCACTTTGAAGACAAGCAGTTACATTGCTCTTGTGGGTTAAAAATAAAAATGAGCACATCTTCCTTATCTCTCAAAATGAAAATAAAAGAATGCAGTAGAGGCATGAAAATTGTTTTAAATACTTCATCATTTAAACAGACTGCATTGAAAGTTATCATCACCTTCAATTGTGTAGTCCATGCACTTTTGTACTTACTTAGCAGGTCACAAACTATTCTGTGGTGATATCACAGGCTCTGGAAACAAATTCAAGCCAATGGAAAGCAGGTTTCATTTTTCAAGTTACTGCCTGAGCACCCTATAACCAACAATCCCTGAATTTACAAGGGCCTGCACACCATGAGCTGCTGCCTGCTGATCCAGTCTGGCACTCCTCACAAGCGTTTGCTCAGACTGGCCTTGTTTGCCAGCCCAAGTTCAGGCCTTTTTGATTTTGACACAAATCACCTGCTCTGTTGTTTCACTAGTGTAATATTCAACATAACTATTATCTTCTGCAAAATCAGACTGATTTTTCCTTGCCCTTCTCCAGTTGGCATGGAGAGCAATGGAGGTACACTGTGGTTACATTAGATTAAAAAAAAAAAACCAAAAAACAACCACTCCTTGTGCAATCCATTTAGTGCTTGCAGCATGCTTGAAAGCACCCTCTGCTCTCACAGACAATGGGCCAAGTTTCATTTTGTGTAATGCAGGACACAGCACTGGCCTCTGAGCAGGGCAAGCAGGCTGACAGCTGCAATGGTGGGCACAGCTGAAAAGTCCCTTTTGCATTTGCCTTGTTCTTGTGAGGCTCTGGAGAGGTCCTTGTTGCGGCGTGATACCATGGCTTGCCTCAGTTACCCCGTCCTTCCCCAGGTGTCAATCACTCCTTTCCCCACCCTGACTCCTGCTGGGCACTGTCTATCAACCCAGAAATTCCAGAGGAGCAGCGAGTGATTGGGCAGATTCAAAAGATGCCCCCCGCCCTTGGAAAGGCATTAGGGCATCCAGGTGTCCTTTTCCCTGAGGCCTCCTCCCCCTGTACCTGTGCCGGTGGTCCCTGTGTTCCCTCCCCTCTCCCTCTCCCCCGGGTTAAAAGGACAGGCACACCACACGCTGGGGGTGTCCTTGTAGAGCTGTTGTACATTCAGGGGCCATGCAGCCCAGAATAAAAACTCTGGATTAAACCCTACATCGGGACCAACTCTTTCCTCCACCATCGCCTTAAAAGGTTTCTCCAGCACAGGGAGGCCTGAGGCGAGACCCTCTTCTACCAACAAGCTCCAGCCGTAAGCACTGGAGCTCAGGCATGCCTGGGCTTGTCCCCACATGCCCAGCTGTGACCCACAGGTAGCCAAATAGCATCTCTGGGGAGAAAAGACCACAGGTGCTGCTATTTGGTTCAGCAGCAGGGGCCAGACGAGACAAGGCACGTCCCATTCAGTGATATTGGTAAAATCCAGTAGGTGCCCACACCTGCCAACGTGCCTGAGGTGGCAGTGAGCCATCTCCATTCTGTCTCCTGTTCTCCAGCCAGGCCAACAGGATCCCCTTGTGCTGGGGGTGACGGTCCCTCTGGGACTTTGCCCTTCACCTTTGGGACAGGTAAGCCCATGGTGCACTACAAAGCCATCACCCTGCAAGTGGAACACCACCAGCCTGTTTTTCACACTGCCACTTCAGTCTCTGCTGACTTTTGCAAATCCTGAGTGATGCCCCTCAAGTTAGCTGACTTGCTGTGGGAAAAAAGAGGAACAGCTAAGGGACAGTTGTTTCCCATGGAGGATGAAATGCTGCCTATTATTAGAGCATGATCTTTAACAGCACCAGCCATACACAGGTTTGGATGAAACCAAAGGGTAGAATTATGACAGTATATTTCTGTGCCCAGGATGTATCCAGCAGAACACCTCACTTGCTAAATGCCCATGTGTAAATTCTCAAATCTGCAGAGGCTAAACAATTCATGCTTCGACCTCAGGTCAAGGATCTGAAGAAGACAACCATATGGAGGTGTAAAAGGGCCACACACCAAAGTGACGCAATTCAGGCTAAGCTTATTGACTCCAGGAATTAGATTATTTTACTGGCAGAAGCTCCAAAAGGCATAATTATAGCAGTGTAAAAGGGTCACACACCAAAGTGACCCAATTCAGGCTAAGCTTTTTGACTCCAGGGAATTAGATTATTTTACTGGCAGAAGCTCCAAAAGGCATAAATCAGAATAACAAAGCAGAGATGTTATTAAGCTCAAAAATCTTAGGCTGATATACAGGAGGTTCAAAAGGAAGTCAAAACAACCTACCCTTGACCAGATAAAATAAAGGAATAAGCAGGTTGGGTGAACAGCTGGTCTGTGAGGTCAAGGAATAGATGCCATGGATCTGGACAGACTGTGCTAGCTGTCAGACAAAAAGCTTAAAAAGAGTTGGCTGAGCCCTCCCCCCCACAAAAGGTTAAGCAGGAAAACTTTCCAATGATGAAAAATAAGGAATCACCTGCTCCTGTTAGGTTAGCTGTTTGGGGAGCAGCACAGTGTGAAACTCAACATCCACATTCACTAGGCTGAAGTGAGGAGACATGAAGCAAGGACATGGCCCTGCAAAGAGTAAGAGCACAGACAGGAAAGGAATGGGTTTGCCAAGGGCTGCAGGGAAAGGAACGTGTCTGGGCAGCATATGCCCAGCCCTGGCTACTCAAGGAAGGAGGACAGAGGCTTAGGAAGCCCCCTCCCCTTAGCTGCCTTCACAGTCAGGGAAGGCAAATAAGCCTCCTCTGGAAGGCAATCTAGAGCACATAAAGGAAGTTCCTACTTTAAATCCCACTGCAGAGTCTCAAGGAGAGTACAGAAAGCTCCTATAGCCCTTCCTGGTGCTTTTAGTCTTACCCTTGGGGTACCTTAGAAAACTATTCTAAGTATCTAGGTTTCAGTTAACAGAGACAACCTGGACTGAAATTAATCTGATGTGTTCAGAAGTATTTAATATATTTCCTAAATATCAACTTCCCATACATCATAACTTTTCTTACCATCTTGAATCATCATTTATGCTGAAACATACAACCATTTACCTCTGCATATTTTTAATTTCCTAGGCAAGGGAAAGCATGTAGGAAATGGCTGCCACATCTAAAAATATTCCTATCAATGTAATTAAAATATATGCTTTTAAATTTTGGGAATGTTAAAGACACATGTTAGCACTAAGAAAAAAAAACCCCAAAAAAACCTCCCACCATTTGCTCATACCAAAGAAGCAATATCACAGGCAAACCATTTAAGAAACACTGTCCAAGAGCCTGCATTCTGACAGAGCTGGACAACTGCACAGGGTCTAAAAATGCCCTTCAAACACCAGTGTAATCTACAAACACCAGCGAGCCTCCTGTGCTCAGGCATTCAGCTGGCATCTGCAAGTCACATTTAGTCTGGCTTCTCATCATGTGAGGGGCCAGAGCAATCCCCTTACAACTGCTGTGTCTCTTTCATTCATTCATTCATTCATTCATTCATTCATTCATTCATTCATTCCTCCTGCCCACTGGAAGAGGTGGCAGGGTTTCCCTAACAAATGTTATACTTTCCAATGCAATTCCCAAGGTGCCTGTCACCTTGGCATTAGATAATAAACTCCTCATTTACTTCAGTTGCAAAATCCAAGGCTTTCCAACTCCTTTCTTTGTTCCATACCTCCTGAAAGAGGGATTTCTTAGCTGGATTCTCTTACTCCATCGTTCTATGAAATGTGGTATTTATAACCAATGCCAAAGAAAAGCTTTTTCTAGCGTCTCAGTTGGCTGGAAACATAAAGACATATTTACTAACTAGTATGAGCCACTTCCTGATCTCATTTTCACCAGCACATATCCAAGTTGGTTAGAGAAATCACACCATGTAAAATCAGTCTCAGAGAGGTCACATTCTGGGTTTGAGTATTCAAATTACTTGTCTAAAAGAACAGCTTTATTAAAATAACTAATGACCATCTCCGGCTTCAAAACCAAAAACAGTTTTGGTGAGGAGGGAGTGAATGATAATTTTAAATGGCAGTCTAGATAGGCAACACCTGAATTCTCAGAAACCTTCTTATTTGTATATCCAGATGCCTTATAATCAAGGGATCTACCTTTAAAAACAAATAATCAGTATTGAGGCCCAAGTCTGCTGGTGGCTTCTCTCTGGCAGCTGCAGCTACAGAATTTCAAAACATACTCTAGATTTTGGAGAGACATTAGCAGTAGCTGTATATTTATGGCTAGAAAAGTACCTGAACTACGTGCTCACAAAAGATGCCAGCTTAGGGGTTTTTTTGTCACTTTTGGGGCTCGGGGTATTTTACTTCAAAAGATAAAATGTATCTATGGGGTAAGCAGGGCAATAGAACAAGCATCCCAATGTTGTTGTTCTTCCAGTGTGAGCTGAAGTTAACTTGGTACAACAGCATCCAGGGAGGGAAAGCATCCATCACTGTCAGGCTCCAGTTCTGGACTGAAGTGTAGGTGTGAGAATTAATAGAAGGCAGCATTATAACAGAGGCAGACAGAGCAGAACCAATGTAATGAAAATTATTTCTATTTGCACCAGGTACTTCCAGCCTATGAAATTCTGGAAGTCACCATGAGCAAAAACTAGGTTTTAATTTCTATGTTTAGTATAGATGTATCTATATATATATTTAAAGTATCCCTTTGAGTATTTCTATTGATTTGATTAGTAAGAAATTGAATTCTTCTGCCCATCCACAGATGTCTGCCCCTCAGCCATACCACATGGTCTAATCCTGTCTTTATTTGAGTTTTAGAAGTGAAAAGTACAAGCATTTTCTAAAACCTTTATGCAAAAACAGGGTGAAAGGAAATCACTGGTATTAAAAGATGAAGCAGGATGTCTTACACCAGCCTATTTAACAACTGTTCAAGCTGGAAGATTAGTATTGGGCAAGAATTAGTATCTGTGTGCATGAAAATCTTTCAGATAGTGGAAGTGGCCACAGAGCAAAGTGTTGGGCCAGAGCTGACTCCCACCTCTGTGTTTCCCAGTTCTGCAGGCAGGGAGGGCAGCTCTGGGTCTCAGATAACCCTACTTCCTCCAGCAAGGCTGTGTCCATGCAATATTCCCTGGCTCCTGGCATGGGTACTCTGCATCTGGTTATACATGAACCACTAATGTGATGAAAGATGAGGAACAATTCAAACTTTATACAGAGATGATCTAAAGCAATATTCACTAGGTCACAGCAAGCACCCTGCAGTTACTTTACAGCAACACACTATAAAGCACCACGTAAGAGCATCCCAATTAACATCACCCCAGGACAACAGCTCATCTTGGGACTTGACAATTGTTTCAAACAGTCCATTGACTGAAAGAACAGGGGTCCTCAGCTCTGCTTCCTTTTGCAGCCCTGCCAGGTAGGCCCCATCACTCAAGTAGCAAACAACACCGTAGATGGGAGGAATTTGAACACTTCCCACTCTTCATAAGTGTACCTGAGCTTCTTGTCTGATTCCTTCATATTCCACCCTCATTTTCTTCTGAGCATCTTCATCAACACTGGGGTCACCTATCCTGCTGAACAACGAAGCAGCTTCCTCCAGCAGCCTTTCCAGAAGGACTGACTGATTTAGGACATCATTCTGCAAAACCTGAGCATGGCTCAGCTGCCACTGCTTCTCCTTTAAGCCAAGCTGCAACTCAATGTCAGGCTCCAAGGTCACCCTCATGTTGTGGATCCATGTGTAAAACTCATTCTGGGCTTTCAGGTACTCGCTCCAGTGCAGCCAGACCCACTCAATGCGGCTGTTGGGGAGAGCAAGAGAGAGCACTTAGATGAAATGATGATGGGAGCAGTGGAGACCAACAATGCCAAAAGGCCTTCAAAGCAGTGCACAAGGTTCTCAGCAGTTTTAACTTGCTCTGACTTTGCAGGGTTTGGGCTCACTTCCCAGGTTCTCTCTGCTTTGGGGAGCAAATATTCTGTATAAGGTTCTGACCAAACTCATCATTGCAGACCATGGGGTGGATGGACCAGGTTGTGAAGGCAGAGCACTGAGGTCTCACTGATCCTCTCTTCCCACACAGTCCCCAAAATGCTCATGGGATTGGGATTAGCAGGGAATTGCTATCTACAATCCAGGGAGCAGAGAGAAGCAGGAAACACTTGATGAAAGCACTGGAGGAAACAGCTGCCTCAACACAGCCAAGAGTGCGTTTGTCTTACCTGTGACAATGAGTAATGTATATGGCTGTCTCTTCCCACAAGGCTTTAATGTCTTTCAGTTTAGAGAGCACCTCATGCTTCTTATCCTCACTGATGCTGCGAAGAGCAGCATCTGCCTTCACAAGAATCAAGTCCATTTTCAAGCTGCCTTCTGGTTCCAGGGCACGTATTTTCTATGAGAAAAACAAATGATACTGAAAGCATGGAAAGAAAACAAGCATCATTGATGAAATGTAAACTTTGTTTTTACCCAGGAATCATGAACTCATAGAATCATTTAGGTTGGAAAAGACCCTCACAATCATTCAGCCCAGTTGTTAACATGACTACCATGGGATGGAAATGTCTCTCTACAGAACAGACAATTAACCCTTCCCACCTAACTCCCTGCTGCAGTTTCTCCTGAAAGGAAAATATGTTTTTTCAGACATGTTTATTCTTAAACATCCTAAAGGACTGAGTTTAACTGAAAACCACACAGCAGTTGAAAAACGTTTAAGTTGGCTACAAAAAACAGACCATCCTCTATGAAATGCCTGTGGCTGTGTTTCCATTGCTGCTATAAGGTTACAGCACTGTGTTGCCCCAGGCCAGCTGCTCTTCCCACCCTGCCAAAGCACAAGGAGGCAACCTCCACAGGCTACACTGCAGCCTCTCCATTTTAAGCTATACTATAAGAAATCATGAAGCATATTAAAAAGGCTTCCTAGTGCAAACAAAAGTTGGCTTAGAAAAGAAGCCAAGAGAAATTAACTAGTGGAATTTTCTGCCTGCTACCAAATTTTGCTTCAACCCTAAATTGCTAAGTTATGAGTTGGTGAAAATGTGTATCTTACACAAATAGGAATGCCAGGAACTGAAAGTGGAGTCATCTAATTTTAAGTATCCAGAGATGGAAAAATCAGCACAAGTTCTGTACAATTTAACAGATTAATTATCCCCCAATTCAGATGTCAGCTTTCAACATTACTTTATCCAAGTTTCTGATACTATCAAATTAGTTTTTCTTGCTGGTCTTCCATAAACTCCTGGCAAACTGCAGACTTTCCAGTTTGAAGAAAAAGGCTGCTACAATGAAAACACCAAAATTTTAAAAATCAGCGATTACTTTTGGTAAAGTTAGGCCTATGGGATTTGATCATGTCAGTTATTGCAAAGGTGAGACAAGTAAAAGGTCTTTGGATCTCCAGTCCCACATTCTCTTAAAAGCAAAGCCTGTTCTTTTGGCATGTAGGCAGCACACCTGCCTGCGATGTATCAACAGATGTTTGGAGAAATTATTTACTAAGAAAGGTATGATTAATAGAATCCAGAGAAGCAGAGCAGGGCAAAGCAAGAAAATACAAGCCACAGATATCATCTAACAGGTGAAGTGTAAGAGTAAAGCTGTATTCTAAGCCTGTTATTTTTCCAGCAATTAGAAGCAAACAAACAGCTGGAGGGAAAGCAGTGGCTGTACAGTCAATTTTCTTTTTCAAATCTGTTTTTTACATTATTTGTCTCATTGGCTGACATTTTTATTAACAAATTAACAGAAAATAAACCACAGGAAGGAAGCATGAAAAAAAAACCCTGGCAAGCCAGGTGCAAAAAAAGAACTGAAAACTAAACAGTGGATTTGAACACAGCCAATAGGTGAAGCAGTGAGCACATCATGAGGATATCTGAGCTGGAGACAGAAGCCAGGCCCAGAAAGGAGGTACACACAGGAAGAAAGAACTTGTTAATCTTTAGGGTGATTAATCTCCAAAGTCTGAGTTGAAAGAATTTCTTAACATTACTTTTTGCATGTTACAGATCTCCTCTAAAGCCCACAGAAGTAAACAGGCTTCAGCAGCTCAGGCCATATCACATCACCACAAATCTCTAGACCTTATAAGTTATCTCTGCCTTGAATGTTCCCCCTTTGCCAAACTACCACTCTTCTACTCGAGTTCCTGTGCCTCTTGTGTGTTTCTTGAGACTGTACACATCATAGTTTCCCAGACAAAAGAAAAGGTGAAAATAATTTAAGGTCAGAAAAATTAAACTATAGATCAAGATAAAATGCTTCATGTTTTTATGACTGACATGCAAATCTAGCCATCATCCATCACTCCATGAATAGTCTTTATATTATGCCACAGGCAAGATCCATCCTCCAATAAACCACAGTTAAGGAAAAAGGCTGAAGACATTACTGTGAACTACCTCATCATCCATGTAAGCCTGCAGTGTTTTTTGTTAAACTTCAGGAGAGGCAGACCAAATATAAGTAGACACACAAAAGGAGAGACTTTGGGGTAAGTAACAATGGGAAAGATCTTGCCATTTAAATTAAAGAACAGATTACTCGGAATTACAGGTAATAAAAGTATAAAAATAGTTTAAATGTTAGTCATGGAAAGATCACCACTCCCTCCAATGGCACAAATGGGACAAACAGGAGTGTTTCCTTCTCTGAGATTACAAGACCTAGATAACATCTAATGAAACTGAAGTTAATGAATGTGAAGTCACTGTAAGAGAGCAGGCACAATCTGCAACAGGATCTCACTGAGAAGAGTTATAAAACAGATTAAGTAAAACCAGGAAAAAAGAAGAGAACTTTTACCTTTTCATGGAACAGATCATAAAGGGGATCTGTAAACCCTGTTATCATCAGGGTTATGGAACAGGACAAAGGAATTACTTTAAAACAGCCCATTGCCAGGATACTGCAATCTGTTTCTATCAGTGCCAGAGTCCTGGAGGGGGTGGAACACTAACATGATCTGATTCTTTTATACTATATGCTGGTTGTCTGCAAATTACTATGGTAATTGCAAGCAGCAACCAAATTGTTCCAGGCTTGAGGAGAGTGTAAACATTTTAACCTGCCAATCCTGCTGCTAGTGTTCCAAATCCATCTGAAAAGCATGGAAGCCTGTGATAGCAAATTGCCATCCTCTTTTTCTACATCTGTAAACAATTTGCAAATAGAAAATTTAAAATAATACTGATGTGAACCCATCCACACAGGCCCAATGCTCCAACAAGCAGGGGCAGATGAGTTTCCTGATGGAAGAGTCCTGAGCTCACAGCAATAACTGCTGTGACAATGGCAGCACTGAGAGCCACCTCTGAATTCCATCGCTCTTCCCTTACCTCAGTCTCTTTTAGTCTGGCTTCTAGGGCAGATCGAGGTCCTTTGGTGTTGTCATTGATCCTCAGTCTCTCTTGGATGGCCTTCATCCAAGCTTCTGCATTCTCCACGCTGCTGTCAAATTCCTCCTGGAGCTGCTGAGTCATCGCATTTGAAGAAGCTGAAAGGAGAGGAAACAGGGAGGTAAGCAGGTTTGGGGTAAGACCTGAGCAGGAATGAAAGGCAATCCAAAGGAGAAAGGGAGAAAAGCTAATGATGTTGTGGCTTTCCTTTTTGAACAATAATAGCAAAAACTGCAGCAGTATCGTAGGTCAGTTGAGCACAGAGAACATATTCACTCTGCAGCTTTCCCAAATGAAAATACACCAGGAAACAAAAAGAAGGTGGAGAACTGTGGGAGGTTCCTTTACAGTAAACAGACTTAATTCAAAGCTTTTAAATGAGATTAATTTGATGTTTGTGTGTATTCCAGATTAGCTACACTAAAGACAAACACTTGCTGTTTCTTCCCAGAGTCATGTCAGTGTAAAACTCTCCCAATGCCCTTCCAGGCTCATGTACTGAGCACCTGACACCAGACTAACGAAGTACTTTGGCACTTAGAGGTGCACTTAGAGGCACTTTGCTTAACTTAGAGGTGCACAAACTGCTGTTGTAGAGGTGTTAAAGCTGCTGAGAACAGGATCAGGTGCTTAGACACTCAGTTAACTTCTTGCGCTGAGACCATGCAGAGGTTACCTGAATGCACATGCAGTGAGTCTGGGATACACAGGCAATGGGAGCTGGTCAGCAATTTCCAAGACAAACCACAAACAAGACCTCACAGGGGATTATCAACCCTGATGGATGTCTTCTTTTGCCATCTCTTTTACTCCATACCAGGCTCCAAGCTTTTAATTTTGCTCTCCCTCTCTCCTGTTGCCCATTCCCAGTCAGCAGGAATGTATGATGCTTGGTTGCTCTGTTGATGTCTCTGTTTAGAGCACAAGCTCTCCACTGCCCAGACAGCCTCCTTTGTGCTGTACAATAGAGCAGAGCCATCCTAGGCTCACCCCTAGGACTGCTGGACTAAACTCCACTAATAAGGATGAGCTGTAGTCAGCTCCACTGAAGTGAACAGAACGAGAGCCAATGCCATTCAATGGGTTTGGATCGCATCCTGCGACGACTGCCAGCCAAGCAGCCAGTGTCTTGTGGAAAATAAAATATTCTTCCTCTTTGTTGTTCATCACTGAAAGATTTTTTCAGCACAAAGTTTGAGACTTAATTACTGAACCCAAGTTTGCTGTTCAAAATCCAGTTCCACAGAGTCCCTCAGTTTCCATGAAACAATTCATGTGGAAGGAAGTGCTCAGTGTGAGAGGCAGAGCATGGCTCCTGGTGAAGCTGGACCAATGGTGGTTTGCAACCACCATAGCTCTCAGCAGCTCAGTCTTTACAAGGAAGAGCCATGCTTCTGCTCACAAGCAGAAAGCTCCCCACCATCCTGCCAGTGTTCCTCTCCATGAGGTAAAATGATTCATGCAATATTAGAGGTCCCTTCCCTGCAGCACCCAGTCAGTTTTCTTCCACATCAAACCAGAGAAAACAAAATGTCAGCATTCACAACAGTCTGAACTGTTGCTTCCCAGCTGTCAGCAGGCTTTCTACTCAACAGGTCCCAGGACAGAACAAAAGAACTGCAGAGCAGCACTGCACCACCCATGGGGACAGCTGGAGCAGAGGACGGGGTCAGACCTCAGAGAGAGCAGACCAGCAGAGTTGCATTTGCGTGAAAGAGGGAATTCCTCCCTAAGTGAGACCTGTCAGACAGCACAGAATCTAAGGCTGTAGCTCTCAGAACCTGAGAGTAGCTTTAGAGAGAGTGACCTCAGCTTGAATGTTCTTAAAAATAAAACAGGATGTACTGGATTTAGCGAGGGTGGTGTGGCATGGGGCAGCTACTCCCTCTCTCAAATATAAAAAACATGACAGGATATATAATTAAAACTAAAATCATTGACTTACAACAGTAGTAAAGAGGAAGCCAGCTAATGGAGTAATGTTATTTTCAGTGGATTGCTAGATAGCTGTGTCCTTCTCCAACTACGACTGGTTCAGAACTGACATTTCTGAACTACAATAATAGAGCTCTTGGAAAAGAGCACACATCTCATTGCAGTTGAAAAACCAACTCATTTTGACATTAACATTTCTCACTATATCTGGCAGTTGTAGAGGGACTGTACCCTAAAACTCCCCTTGTTACATACATACACACATTTCTAGGCAAACAGTTTCTGAATGTTCAAGTATGAACTGTGGTGGTTCCAAATTATGCTAATGTGAAACAAAAAACTCACAGTGCATTTACTGGATGGACCCTGATGAGAAGTGGCATTCATTTCCTAGGAGAGGTTTCTATTCCTGGCAACATTCATATCATATTTAAAATTGGCTTCAGTACTCCACTCATGGAGTAGCCAATACAGAACATACAGTTATCCTAGTCCTGCTTTTTACAAAAAGTTGAGGGCAATCTTACATGGTTAAGAAGCAGTGGAAAACCTACTGTCATCCAACAGGAAGAAAACCACACTCACACTCTGCCCTCATGCTGCTGCTCTCTGAGCACAAGGAATTTTCTGTCAAAACCTCACAGTAACACAGCCTTCCCCAGCCCACACACAGTCAATCCACGTAAGCAGTCAGCACAGGAAACCACAAAAAAGTTATTTCAATATGAAGAACACCAGCTTGCAAAGGAAGAGAAACACTTTGCTACTCCAGCTATAGACAATAAAACATCATTGACTGATTTTGACCAAGCAATTCCTTATCTAGTACCACGAAGATGATTAAATTTACCATGGACTCAATGCCCAGGTGGATTTCACAGTAGTTAGAACCTGCAATATCTGACATGGATTTGGGCTGCCTTTTGAGACCCCCTGTCCTCCCTCTGTGCAGGGCAGCCAGATGCTGGCTGAAGCAATCAGCTACAGCACCTGACTTTTGTTCTGGAACCCATCCCAAGCACTAACAACATGGTTTATACCTGCAAGGTAAAAGTATGACTTTTCTGACTTACTCTCTACTTGGGAGAAAGAATAACTGCTGTCTATTTGAGATATGGCAAGATCTGTAACTCCTCTGCAAATTCTTCTAAAGTTGGGACTAATGATTAGTGGACAAAAGTTAACCATTCAACAGCATTCACCCCATTTCTGTTGCATCATTGGAACCAGAAGGTTGAGCAATACTTCTGGAGATTAAATTAAGCAATATTTCTGGACCCTGATCAGCACAAAAAGGACAAAGGAGACATAGTGGTTCTGGAACAGATCTAAGCAGTGGAGCTGGGCAAAGCCAACATTCACACACCAACCTGTAACAGCAGCAGACCATTAGGGACACCTGTACAGTGGTGCAACAGCCTCTGTCCCAGGCTCAGTCTCTGTGCCATGGAAAGGCTTCCCTTAATCACCGGTGAGATCCTCTGAGCAATTTGTACAGAATTGTTTTTCTCACAATTATTTTCAAACGCATCCAGCTGTTCAAAACTGCTTTCCATTTAATGCCACTTGAATCAGTGTATTAATTCATACTGTGGAAAGCAGATTCACACTGTAGAAATCACTTGGCATCTCCATACATGTTACTAAACGAGGGAAAAAACTATGTGTAAGAAATTCTGGCATAGATAATGAGATGCTGAGAAAAACCAAATTTTATTTGTCCAGATGCAGTAACAGTTTCTTGGCAGAGGTAATGAAGAAGTGTATTTCAGAGTGTTAAACAGAACTGACCCAGGACAGCTCCTGCAGTATATCCACAGGTTACAAAAAGCACATTTTAGGAACAGTAAAATGTAAGGCAGATTACCTGCAGAAACTAATAGTTGAACTTCTCCCACAACATGACTCTTCCTGCTTTCCCTGAATCACCCCTGTGAGCCCCAGAACACCGCTTGGCAGTGTCTGGGTAGGCACACATGTTTCAGTGCCACAGAGGGACGATGCCTCAGCCCTTGCCCAGCTCTGCCAGACCCACTGCACACCCCCAGCACAACCAGGGCTTGCTCTGGTTTGTCTGAGGCTCAGTTACATGCACGGGATATCTGCACCTTTGGAAGAGGGAAAGGTGAACACCTGACCCAGCCCACCCTTGTCTCAAGCCAGCATCACTCCTCTCCAAGCACAAAACCATTTAGCAAGGAGGGAAGTCAGAGTACTGCAGCCTACCACCTCTTCCCAAAATCCTGGAGAAGGAAGGGGCAGCTGGAAGGATGCTGGGGGGCACACGTGCTGTACCCCCAGCTCACCCTCAGACTGAACATCACAGCATGAATTAATGAGATCCAAACAACAGCAAGCTGGGTTTTGCTTTTAAAATCTGCTCCAGTTGTGCTGGGCTGGGCTGAAGAGATGCAGAGGCAGCTTTGTTTCAGCTGTGGTCTTGGAACCATCTTGCTGAAGGAGCAGATAAATGAATTAGCTGACTGCCCTGCATCATATCTCTGGGAGCCATGGACATCTCTGGGTTTGCACTGCAGACCCCGACACAGACACAGGCAGAGGTCACCCCTCACGAGACCCACGTGGCACTCGCTGGGCCAAACTCCTCCAAGCAGCTCTCCCTTAAGTACAGCCACTGCAGGAGCCTTGCTAGTGCATCTGGGAACTCTTCTGGGACACTGCAAGATTTACTTATTTAATATTTGTAATACACTACTGAGAGCTTTTAAAATTATTTTGCAAGTGCAGTGTTTTTTTCTTAGGATTGTCCTATTATTCTGCAATGTTTCCTAATGTACTATTTTCTCTCTGCCAGTCATACTGGGGGTTCAGGTTTGGTTTTTTTTTTTTTTTTTTTTTTTTTTGTTTTTAAATTTGTATCTCTTAAAACATTTCTTACAACCACTCCCATTTTACACATTCTTTTAAACCCTACATTTATAGAACACAGGCTTTAAAATTGTTTCAATATGTCTTGGATTCTTATATTCATGTACTATTTGACTAGTTTCCAGAACCCAGTTCTTACAAAAATAAAAGTACAAAAATGCTCCAGGAAAATTCAAACCACTTACCATTAGGGAGACTATTTTCCAATTATTGAAATACTTCAAACTTTTCATAACCCCTTTCATTTGGTTCTGGGATTGAATGTGGAAAAAAA